TTATCTAAAAAAATATTATTTATAATAATTTTAAAATAATCCCAAAAATGAAAATCTTCAAAAATTTCCAAACTTTCGGCCCGGAGTGTATATCGGAACGTTCGACATGCGGAAATTCAAACGTGTAGCGCGGAAAATGGCGCCAGTTCCTTTGAATTTTTATCCGAGACGGCGAGATGACCGCGATTCGCTCGAGTACTTCAAATTCATCTGAAAACACGCGGCACTAACGGAAATATCCTGGTGTACACTGTACGCGCGTTCATCGTATTTGTGATAATACACCAAAGCAATGCGTCCTGCGCCAGTTGTCCTGCGCTTGTTCGACACTTACCGAGGTACAGCTCGTTGCTCCGCGAGTCCTAGTGCCGCTAGCAAGCACCGCGGGCGTGCTCGCTGCCGCCGCTGTCGCCGCCGCGAGGAGTCCTGGGCGCTCGACGATGCGCGCCACCCGACGAAGAAGTTGCCTCGGAACCTCCGTATGTCATCGGCGTTCATCGCCGCGTGACGACGACGACGACGACGCCGCCGCCGCCCGCGTATACACCGGGCATCCGGAATACATGTACGCACAGGCACGCGCACACACTGATACACTCACGCGCGCCCGCGCGCGCGCACACACACGTGTCAGAGAGGAATAGATAGATAGATAGAAACCGTAGCCTTTCGACCCAACCGCGTAACGGACGACCGGAGCACGAAATACGACTCCGAAAACGGAGACACGAAAACGGCAGTTATCACGCGCGAGCGCGCACATACACACTAACGAAACGTCAACAAGACACTGACGGAAAGCGGCAGAGCGCGTTCCGCAACGCACTGGCAAGACCACTTCACCGCTCGCGGACGAAGACTCCCGACTCCCGAGGCCAACGACTCCCCCCACCAATCGCGCGCATTCGACCCAGCTATACATCCCCTCTCCCGCCCAATCCCGCGCGACCTTCCCTCTCCCCGCTCTCCCCGCTCCGTCTACTACTCGGTGCAGACTTTCTTCTCTCGTCTCTTTCTCTCTCTTTTTTCCATCATCACTCTTTCTCTTTCTTTATCTCCAGCGTATTCCAACAATATTAGTTTTATTACGCCTTGCGCTTGAAATTCTCAAAAAAATTGTTGTATTTGTAAAGAAATAAATATATGTTTGAATATGTTGGAGAGAAGCTGAGTGTAACAAGTACAAACAACGCGAACAGACTTATTTATTACAATAAATGTTGAAGATGACAAGCCCGAGTTTTGACACTTTTGACGTTCCGATCCGCGTATGTGAAAGGCGAATTAGATCACATGTGACGTTAAAATATATTTTTATTACGCACTTTCCGTTGGAAAGTGCGGAACGGATGTTTCCTCTCTCTCCTTCTGTTCCGTATCCTTCCACGTTTTCCACCACGAGTGAAATGGACTTATTCAACCCCCTCGCGTTCACTCCCTGCCCTATCGTCCATTCTATCTCGCGGCCGTCGGCAAACGCATCGCATCGCCCATCCTATCTCCCGCTCGGCCTCCTCCATATCGGCCGACCAGCGCGGCGTGCAAGAGGTGCGGAAGGATCGGAGCAACGCATTGGCGGATCCACAAATTTGTCTAGAGAGGGGAGCCATTGGCACGTTCAACGTCGCAAGCGAAATTTTTTTTTCCAATATGAAAAAATAAAATATGACCTTTCATAGACACACTGGATCCTTTTCTCGTTGCGAAATTTGACTTTCAAATTTTTGACACAAATTTCCATTTTTTATTAAATAAAGGTTTTAACACTTGAGGTAACGAATTATTTGACAACGTAGCAGAGATGTTAAAAAATAATCCTGAATTTTTCTAAATTTTTTGAAAGCCTAGAATAGTAAAAAAAAATTTTAGCTGCACAAAAGAGATCCAAAGTGCGTATGGAGTAAATAAAAATATGTATAATAATATGTATTCCTATAAGGATTAAAATTATTTAAATTATTATATCGAAAAAATATTATTTAAATGTATATTTTATAAAACATTTTACTTAAAATTATATTAAAAAAGAAGAATAATATAATAGAATCTAT